TCTATCTATCTATCTATCTATCTATCTATCTATCTATCTATCTATCTATCTATCTATCTATCTATCGACCTATCTATCTATCTGTCTGTCTGGCTGGCTGTATGACTGTCTGTATGTATGTATGACTGTCTGTCTGTCTGTCTATCTATCTATCTATCTATCTATCTATCGACCTATCTATCTATCTGTCTGTCTGGCTGGCTGTATGACTGTCTGTCTGTCTGTCTATCTATCTATCTGTCTGTCTGTCTGTCTATCTATCTATCTGTCTGTCTGTCTGTCTATCTATCTATCTGTCTGTCTGTCTGTCTATCTATCTATCTGTCTGTCTGTCTGTCTATCTATCTATCTGTCTGTCTGTCTGTCTATCTATCTATCTGTCTGTCTGTCTGTCTATCTATCTATCTGTCTGTCTGTCTGTCTATCTATCTATCTGTCTGTCTGTCTGTCTATCTATCTATCTGTCTATCTGTCTGTCTGTCTATCTGAATAGTTTATATTCTTTTAATAAAAATCTCTGACAAATCGAAAACAAATTTTGGATGCAGAAATCCTGATTCATACGTTTTTAATGTTATTGCAAAGCAGTGCTTATATATGACCTGTGTGTTTGTGTATTTATGGATATTTTTCTCATTTAGAGGTTTTTCTGAAATGGATACAGTGAAAGGGTATGTAACATGTTACATTAACCCAAAGAGCACAGATAAATGCTAATTACAATTACTGAATTAGCTCATAATTACAAATACATATATAGAGCAATACTTTTAATTTTTTATGCATGTCAGAGGTCCTCACTGAATTGTTGTGTAATGTCCTAGATGTAGAAATTTCCTTCTCTTAGGTATTGTTAACAAAGTTATGACCTTGGATGAATCTAGTGGATGTCTAGCCGCTGAGATATTACAATATATAATAAATAAATGATCATTTATAATTACTGACTTAATTTTTCTTGATTTCCCATTCCCAAGTAAAGAGGTAGAACAAAATAATAAATAAAAGTCACTTAAAGTGAACTACTGATTATTGCTATTTAAGTAGCTTTCTTTTTCTTTCAGTTTTCACTCAATATGTATGAGGAGCTGCACTTAATCAGCTTTGACACGCAGCTCATTCTGCCTGAACTATGCATTGATTTATCGGTAAGGTTTCTGCTAAAAGTGGACTTTTGAAATACAGTGTTTATTTGAGACAATGGTACAACATTAAATTCTTGTAACTGCAACATCGTATAACATGTTCAAACATGCTGGCCGACAAAGTTCTTAGTGTGTTTGTTTGTGCTCTCTATTACCTCTTGAAATGGGAATGAGTAGCTGCTCATAGTTAAATGAATAGCACATTTCTTTTTTAAAGCTTTTAAGGTCGAGAAGCCCAAGGTGACCCAGAAGGACTCATCCACCGGAATACATTTTATAAAGTGAGTTTATACAAATGATTGAAACAAAGACAGGAAAGTTGCTTTCGCTTTCCTGAACATCCTCGCTTTTGTTTGTTCCTCTGCTGTCACCACATGATTTACTGCTAAATCAAAACTTAGTGAGAACATGATACTGCAAAGAGCAGACATTAAATACTTTTATATAGGTGTGATTCTTTGTGGTGTGAAATAACATGATAAATGCAGTATTTTTTTATTATCACACTATATTGTGCAGAATAACTTTTGTGTTTTCATCTAGGCATCTGCCGAGTCTGGTGATTCATTCTGGCAGTGGATATATGAACATTTGGACCTTACTGAAAAATATGTGCCCAACATTTGGAATGATGGGTAAGAAATCTGAAGGGGTTTAACGTTCACCATCTAAATGGTGCTATTGTGTCATTCATGTGAAAGCCAATGCCATTTTTCAAATCACTGACATCAAAACCAGCTCAAGAGATGGCAGATTTTTAAAGAGTTCGAGATTTGAGAGGGGGCTTAAATTTCAGGCTTCAAGCAAAGCTGTTGTATGGCCTCGAAGACTTGGACTATAGTGCATGAGTCACATGGACTACATATACCATACGTTCACTGTGTACAAGTACATTATGGGTTTTTTGAGTAAGGAGAGAGAGAAGGCTTTGTTGAGTGAAAAACTCCCCAGCACTTTCTTTCTACTCTTCAGTGAAAACTCTCAATGGGGAGGAATCATCATAACATGGGTGGAATGTTCAAAGGATGGTTTGTGCTTGTTTGAACTGGAATATTTTATGTTGTGATAACTATCTTGGTGTGTCTGAAAAATCTCTTATGAGATTATCATGTCAGCACAGGTGGTGAACCCTGTGGTGCATTCAACAAAGTCTTACGCTAGAACAGATCTGAACAACACCTCTTTACCGAACATCATCCGTGACTATACCAGCACTGATGGAGAGAAGGATCCAGTGAATCCCCTCATCTACCGTTACCCAGACATCCCACGAGACGTTGCTTTTGGTCGCTACTATACCAGTGCATCTGATGGTAAAGACTCATTCACATTTATGCATTGCATTATTGACCATTGATCTCACAGTTGAACTGACTTGCACAATAAAGAAAATAAGGTAAGAGTTAGTTTTACTAAGCCATAAGGAAACAAAACATAAAAAATCACCAAATAATAAAGTGGAAAATGCTATATTGTATGCAGCCGTTCTGAGACTCTTATATATTCGTGCTTTTGCACACCATCAGGACATTTGGAATACAGTAAAATTCTGTTCTCTTTTAGCTGTAGGAGGGATAAATGAAGACAGACTTTCTGGTTTGAAAGTCCAAGACGGTACAACAGCATGTCAATGAAGACCATGGGTTGGACACGATTGAACATGATCTGTCAGACTCATCAGATCTAGAGGATTTAGGTTTTGAACTGGTTGAGAATGAGGGTAGAAATGCAAATGTGTTCGATTCCCAGATAACTGATCAAATGTATACCTTGAATGCATTGTAAGTTGTTTTGGATAAAATGCATAAATGTAAGAAAATATTCTTGTTGCATCACTGGTAGTGTTGCTCATGGTTAGTATTATATTTTGGTGTATAGCTCATCCTGCACTGTTTCACCTTGAACATGATTTGTGCTGATAGTTGAGGTTTGAATGTTATTACTTTTGAGTTATATATTTGAATTCCAGTTAACTGGGACATTTTTTTTCCAGTCAGAATTTCAGTGTTTTGTGTGGGTTTGTCCACTGCATGTATAATGTATAAGTAAAATTACACCCTTTTAATTACTAACACGATTTTATTCATTATTGCACATCAAAGATGAATCTTTATATACCATTGCTTTAACTGCACATGTACACACACCGACTTGAGTCAGCCAGATACAGTCTAATAGAAATATTTGCGTCAAAGAATACTGAATAGTGCTGAAGTGTCTTTAAAACAGTTTACATTCATTTACTTTGACATGAACTTAAGTTCTGTCCAACTGACTTTCTTCAAGTGTTTGGTCCCAGTGTGACATCACTTTTCCACTGCTAAAACAATTGTCTTACAATAAACTACATTTACAGTAATTTAACACTTCATAAAATATACGTAAATGCACAGATGGTTTGCACAAATGCAGTGTCTTTTATTTTATTTTTGATCGCTTTTGTTCTCAGATTACAACATTGTGTGCTTTCTCAAAATGCAGTCATTTTGGGGGCTCTGCATGTAAATATTTCAACTATGAGTGCATTGACGAATATATATAGACCATCTGTCTGGTAATAAGGTGAAGACTAAAATAAAAAAATACTAAAAAATAACGATGTATTTGGCAGTGGTTAAAATGTTCAAATAATGAAGTATAATAAAATAAAAGTGATACACATGTACAAAATGCATGCAAGCCTTTAAATAATTTCGAATTTTACACCCGACTCGTTCTCGCATTCCTTATCTTAATGATAATCGTCATTCGTGGCAACACTCGACCGATTGTTTGGTAATTGAAATGCAATAGTCTCGCGTCTCGATTTTCATTACGTTCTGATAAGCTACTTTTTTTTTCCAACATAAAGGAGGAAGATATGTTGGCCAGCAGCTTTTAAATGTCGTGAGCGTTTGCGCAACCGTGCCAAATCTCGCTGTTTTTAATGCTCCTGAATTCCTAAACAGGATTGTTTGGTGTCATTCTTTACGCTTGAGTTTAGGCGTTTGCCCTCGGGACAGCAATGTCATCGCTGTAGTCATCATTCCCCACACCTCAATCAACTTTACACAGGCACGAAAGGGTTGAACATACAATTATAGCGTCTACTGGGAGTCGTTTCGCACCATTAAATATGGCCATCATCATGACTTGCGCCCTTTCTTGCAAGGTAGAAGCTGTCAACAAGCCAAAAATGTCTCACAAAAGCATGTAAAACTACAGGAGACAACGTGAAACGAAAAAAAAAATGTACTGATTTTGTTCCCCCAAAAAAACACTGATATTGAGATGGAGCAGTCCTTCTCTGGGCTGTTTCAGAAGAGTGTGCTCTAGTGCTAGTGGAAATGGTTACGTCTCCAGCATCCCGTCCAGGTTTTTCTCGGTGCTCTCTTTATCTGCGTCAGTGTTCACCGGTGGGTTGTATTTATTGTTGTACTCCTGTAGAAGTGCGAGCACCTCGTGATGACCGAAGTGTGTCGCCTCATCTATAGGTGTGTTGCCCCACCTAAAGGACATAAATGTTATTTTATTTTCATGGTTTCCACATCTTTTCTAGTTGTTTTATTACTGTATAACTATTAGATGATGATGATAATAATAATAATTATTATTTAGTGCTGTCGAATGATTAATCGCATATAAAATAAAAGTTTTTGTTTGCATAATATGTGTGTTCTGTGTATATTTATTATTATACACATACAGTATATATTTTGAAAATATTTACATGTCTATATTTATATTCACATAATTTATATTATAAATAAATATATTTAATATATAAA